GGACAGCCCGCACGAGACTGCTTCAGATAAAAGCGATGAAACGTTGTACCACGTTTGTCTCGTGTTTTATATTCTATGTAAAATAATTAAGAAATTCAGATTAAAAAAACTATAAAAGAAACATTTGTTCAAATTTATACTCGCAATAGTTTTGTGTCATTTTTATTACCACTAGTCGAGTACCTTTATAAGAACATTGCTGTCTCTGAAAGAGATAATGTCCGTGTAAAAATTAAATCTGCATATACCGCCTGATATACATTTTACGGAAAAATAAAGAGAATTGTTTTCCTCGGGATCTCCGTTTGCTTGTATCGCTTTCAAGTAGATCAAAAACAATGTTCAACTAAATTATATTTAACACCTCTTCCTTAAAAATAATGTTAAAAAAATTTTCAGTTTGCTGGAAATATTAACGACAAAGTTCTTCGTGTTATTTATTGTTATATTTAAGTTTTCTTGTTCAAACATTTCTTTTTTTAATATACATTATGCATTGTACTAGATCCCTATTACTCTGTTATCTTGAGGTAGGCATTGTACTAGATTCCTATACTCTTTTATCTTGAGTAGGGCTTTGTACTAGATCCCTATACTATGTTATATTGAGGTAGGCACATTTCTTGATCCATATACTCTGTTATCTTGAGGTAGGCATTATACTAAATCCCTATTACTCTGTTATCTTGAAGCAGGCATTGTACTAGATCCATATTACTCTGTTATCTTGAAGCAGGCATTGTACTAGATCCATCTTGAGTTAGGGATTGTACTAGAACCCTATACTCTATTATCTTGAAGTAGGCTTTGTACTAGATCCTTATACTCTGTTATATTGAGTTAGGAACAGTACTAGATATCCATATACTATGTTATCTTGAGGTAAGCATTATATTAGATCCCTATTACTTTGTTATCTTGAAACAGGCATTGTACTAGATCCCTATTACTATGTTATCTTGAAGCAGGCATTGTACTAGATCCGTATTACGCTATTGTCTTGAGGTAGGCACTGTGCTAGATCCCTATACTGTTAGCAAGAGGTAAGCATAGTACTGGATCCCTAGTACTTTGTTATCTTGAGGTATACTAGTTGCTTTTCACCTTTGACCTCTCAAAAAGTACACAGCTATTAAATTTCTCACAGATCATGACCAGAAGAACAAACATTATGAATTCTAGGCATTAAGATAGTACTTTTTGCATGTGTAAATTAATATTTTATCATATGAAGTGTACCTTCAAGTCATATAAAGTAAACCAAAATTGTATGAGAAGAAAAATATGGTTGATAATAATATGTATTTTTAATACATAAGAACGATTTTAAATGTCCATTAACTCTACGACCGTCCAGAAAACAGTATCATACTACTATAACGACCTTGAGGACAAGACATCTGTTAAGTTTATTAAATTCAAAAGGACAATTTGTGATAACAAATAATGTCAGACTTAAAATAAACACAGGCCGTTTCTTCATATTTACCAATATTAAATTTCACAGACCAAGCGATTAGATTACTTCTACTTTGTACATATTTCTTTATATTTATTTATTTATTTATTTATTTATTTATTTATTTATTTATTTATTTATTTATTTATTTATTTATTTATTTATTTATTTATTGTCATATTGTCATGACTGTTTTTTCATTTGAAAATGAAGAGATTTCCATTATCGGTCACGCGTTTCAAGTTTGGATTGATACGGGGAATAATGTTGTGGCGGTGGTAAAGTAGAACCATAACCGAGCAGTCGTACCCAACAGTCATCAGTTCGTAACGTGAATTGTGCCATCTGGACAAGCCTGCGGTAAAACATTGGATTGTTACTTAATTTCTTTTGTAATTAACACTCTCGAATGCCTGATTACTCCATCGTTTACATAATTTTGATTCCTAAAACTGAGTACCACTTTTAGAGTGAAACTGGTACACAATACGTATGACGGACACAGAATGTCGAATAACAAAAACTCGTGTATGTTCAGTCACTAACAATTGGTACGATTCGTGTAGAAAACTAATTATACAAAATTATATTTAAAACCTTGACTTTCTTGCATGAAATTCGTATTTAGGCATTTAGCGATGGTGAATCCTCATTGATGATAGAGGGTCTAAAAGTGTTTACACATTTTACACATTATATGTTCTGATCATATTGATGGAGCGAGAGAAGAGCAAAAACAAAACGAAATAGGCCTACCAAAGGAAAAACAACTCTGAACAGAAGGGCCTGTATATTTCCTAAATGGGATGAGAAATTTCCGAAATGGATAACACCACTCATTATCTCACATTGATACATTTCCTGTTTCATTTTGAAATATATGGTCCAGGCATTGTCTTACTTTAATTAAATTACACTTAATCCAAGTGGAGAATGTTATAGAAATGCCAAGGATTTTTGATCAGAAGATTATCGTTGTGCTGAGAGTTATATATATATATATATATATATATATATATATATATATATATATATATATATATATATATATATATATATATATATATATATATATATATATATATATATATATATATATATATACATATATATATATATATATATATATATATATATATATATATATATATATATATATATATATATATATATATATATATATATATATATGTATATATATATATGTATTTCTTTCTGAATATATTTAATAAATGTTTTTGTTTAAATGAGTATGTCGTATGGTGCAACGACACTAAGTGTTACATTGTTGAATAGCAACATTACTAGTAAGCTCAATGGCTAATCATTTACAGGGGTCATGTGAAAAACAAATTTCAAAATATTTAATGCATGAAGCCTTTTTATTTTCCTTTAGAGTTCAGTTTCAGGCATTTTTGACACCTTCTTATTGATCAAAAATGTATACTAAAGGATGTATGGTCTTGAAACATTTTAAGATCTGTTAACCCTAATGTGTGTGTGTGTGTGTGTGTGTGTGTGTGTGTGTGTGTGTGTTTGACAGAGAGAGAGAGAGAGAGAGAGAGAGAGAGAGAGAGAGAGAGAGAGAGAGAGAGAGAGAGAGAGAAATAAGCCTAGTGATGGAAATAAAGCATTCAATAACATATCACAGGCAGATGTACTAGCTAAATGTGATAAAATAAAATTAAAATAAAATGTAGTTCTGAAAGTCATATCGCCACTTCAGCAATATCATTTTTCTCACTGATATTTCACTATTTCAATATGAATTATTAATAAGAGATCATGTTTAGTGCATGACGAAAAACAAGGAATTTAGATTGGAATGAAATGACTTTAAAATGCATGTCTCTCCTCTGCTTAATATTATGACGTTTTTGTGACGTTATTCTGTATTATTTTAAACGTGTTACATATCTACAATTTGTCATATGGGTAAGTTAACGTAAATAACATGGTAGGCAAGATCTAAATATTTATTTGCCATTCAATTCGACACGATGATTCTTTGACATAAAATAAGGTGGGTCGTACAAGGTTTGTTATTAACGGAAACAGGCATGCGTAATATCTTCCTTACTTTTTGATATATGTTTTTAAAGTCATGCTTAATCAATACATTTTGAGAACTGTATTATTATATCCTCTTTGCAGTTTTTCCATGCATATACTGCATCTCCAAACTCTATGATAGCTACGAAGGCAGGCGCTATTATATGTATACTATCTTATAATATATGTATCAGTGTCGCCTAATGGTCTTTATATATGTTAATTAATGAGGGAGTAATCAAAGACGCAATAATCACTAATTTAACAATGTATGCTTATAGTTCAATGCTAAATAAATTAATTATTCTTCAAAGATTGTTTCTATGATGTTAAATTATGAAGAGAACTAATATAAACATGTCAAAATAATATATATATATATATATATATATATATATATATATATATATATATATATATATATATATATATATATATATAAATATATATATAATTATATATATTAAGTCAACTGTTATAGTGAAGTACTCTTTGTAATAGAATAAGAACAGCAGGAAATGAGTTTGCATGCTATGTCTGGTACATGTGTAATAGCACGGCATCATGACGCTTTTGTTCAGTCCATACCCTTGCAAAAGAATAAATTTATGATTGTATCAACATAAATTAATATGAATTGTCACGACACAAACTTATCTGACGTAAAATGACCAAATTATTTTCTTGACAAACAGCAATAAATAAGTAGGACAATTCCTTTATAATTATAGCAATATTCAAGGCAAGATAGTGGATTTAGTATATATTACGACTCTATGGTTGTTAACAAAGTTAT